ATACACCACATGAGTATTACATGACGCAACTTCAACCGCAGAAACATGTACCAATGATTACTTCTGCAGCAAATACTTGACCTCAAGTCTTCACGGTAACGCTAATGTCGCGCAAAAGTATTTGTAATAGGAGGAATGCCGTGCGTAAGCAATGGTGCATAAGGTTTCGCGGTAGCGCTAATGACGGGTGTAAGTTTTGTCATGTGGCACTAATGCCGCGTAGCAGTCTTTACAGCAGACATTAAGTCGTTTATAAGTAATGACGGTAAATGACAACCACACATTTTTGAAGCATAAACTTTGTCGTGTAACACTTACGTCGCGTACAGTTTTTGCAGTAGCAGTATGACGAGTATACTGGAAGTTTTTGAAGCCTCCTTTTTGTCGCGTAGAACTAACGTCGTGTGCAAGTATTGGCGCTCGAAGTAGTGTCGTAGCACTCGCATCTGTAGGAGTTTTTGTTGAAGCACTAACGCCGTGGACCAGATCGCTCCCGCCTGCCGCAGCGCGCGGGGCGCGGGAGTGCGGCGTGGCGTCCTCGGAAACGCGGCAGTGCAGCAGATGTAGCCGTAATGCGGAGTGAATGAGCACCGCCGCCTGAATAGCGTTGTGAATGGCGCCGCTCGTTCCATACACGGACAGCGAGGCGTTTGGCTGGGGAAGGAGGAGAAAAAGCCGAGATTTGCGCCGCGCTTGCTGCAATGCCATGTTGGGCGTCAGCCGCTGCCACTTACGGATATCGTCGCCATCTGCTTCCTGCTGGGCGTTCGGCGAATGGCGAGGTGTACTTGCGAATGTTGCCATCGGAAATAGTGGTTTAAATCAGTGACAGTTAGTTAGTTGTTGTTACGTTTTGATATCCGTGCTGATTTTCTGTTTAGTTACGTACATTAATAAAAATTGTAGAGAGCAGTCAGTTGCATGCTCCGTGTCGATGTTTCATGTTATTTTATATTGAACACACACCAGCTTTAGGTGATGCCATGAAGACGTTGCTGCAGTCGCCCAGAGCAATTTGGCACCGGAAGAACCCAAAGCCCGAAGGGTACCGTGCGACATCGTTGAGTGTCAGCTGTCTCTCCTTAGATGGCACGGTGTGTGTTGTTAAATGCCAATGACAGTCTTCTTTCGTGTCAAGAAGGAAGCTAGACGTATTTCTGAAGACCCTGCTTTGAAACGATGTGCCACGTATTGACATGGGCTGGCCCTCCGAAGAATGGCTTGATATGACAATAGTTAGTTAAATAGTTTGATATGACAATAGTTAGTTAAATAGTTTGATATGACAATAGTTAGTTAAATAGTTTGATATGACAATAGTTAGTTGAATAGTTTGATATGACAATAGTTAGTTGAATAGTTTGATATGACAATAGTTAGTTGAATAGTTTGATATGACAATAGTTAGTTAAATAGTTTGATATGACAACGGTTAGTTGAATAGTTTGATATGACAATAGTTAGTTAAATAGTTTGATATGACAATAGTTAGTTAAATAGTTTGATATGACAATAGTTAGTTGAATAGTTTGATATGACAATAGTTAGTTGAATAGTTTGATATGACAATAGTTAGTTAAATAGTTTGATATGACAATAGTTAGTTGAATAGTTTGATATGACAATAGTTAGTTGAATAGTTTGATATGACAATAGTTAGTTGAACAGTTTGATGGGACAATAGTTGTTTAGTTAAATACTAAGAGAGGTGCGATCGACGCTCATCCGCTTCTAATTTATTCTTTGTTCTCATTTGTGGTAGGACTTTCTCTCATCTGCTTACCGATCCTACCATTTTGGTCTTAATTTGGCTTCTGTGGGGAAAGGGTATGCGACACTGGTGCCCGCCTTGTGGCGGTCCCTTTGTCTCAAGCGCTACAGGCGAATACAAACAGCAAAATTGGCAAGACTGGAGATGTTCTGAATCTTTTGAGGTGGGAAAGCTGCGTCTTTTGAAAAAATATTATTTATTCGATTTTCAACAGGGATAAAAAGATAGTGACGATCTTTCCGACCTTTTAGGTGATGTTTTAACTACTTTTACACACACTAATGTTACGTACGCCCGATGCGTGCGCTTTATAAACAAAAGCAAAATTTCGTTAGACGAGGATTAAAGCAAGCTGCTCTTGCTTGTATGTGAGAGGGAAGATACAGCAACATGAAAGTAGTGTAGTTCTGCAATGCCGTACGTTAAAACAGTGCCGCTTAATAGTTAAAACGTGCCGATTTGTGAAATACGTCAGTTACTTCCTTCACGTTTGATGGACCAGTAATGTTTGCGACATGCAGGACACGGCGATGAAGACAAATAATGCGTGGGAAAGGCAAGACACATGAACGCAAACGCAGTGAACAGCATGCAATACACCACGGTCAATGCGGCGAAATGGACAACACCGGATTTGCCGTACATTGGAGGTCAACAAACATTTCAACCGAAGTCATCATCGGAATCGATCATCAGAACCTGCGGAAGCCTCGTGGACGGAACGCTGAATACTTAGCTGTTTTAAACCTCCAGTATCCCTGACCCATAGCACAAAGTAGATTGATTTTCCTTTCGCTTGCGGCAACAGTGTCAAAACGCTGATTATCCCCGCGTCTTGTAACGCAGCCACTTCTTGATCACCTAACAATTGATATGCTGCCTCAGCATGTATTTCATTGGTCTTAAACAATTACGTAATCACAGACATTGATGATCATTCTGCTCTCTTCAGCATGTGTTCTTAAAACACAAGCGCGTATTTGTACTCCGTACCTAATGTGAGCCACCAAATGACAGCCAGCAGACAAAGTTGTCATCCTTAATTTATTGTGTCGAAATGGGAATGTTCACTGATAGCTGAAGCAGGCAGACCGTTCAGACCTTTGACGTCAACGTCGTTTTTGGGATCACGTCTACAGTGCGTGGGCCGGCCTAGGGGCATACCACACTGAACATCGGGGTGATTATTCAGCATATCAGAGGACAATTCTCTCAGCCGAGTAGCCGGCTGGCCATCAGTGTCATATAATCACCGGATACCGACCTACCCACCACTTACAGGTCATGTGGACGGCATATGACCGGCGTGGGCGAGTTCTCTTACCCCAGTATCATCGTGCCCGATGACAAAGGTCAGCAGTCACCGCCCAGTGGCCGGGCTAGTTCGTCGCCTCCCACTGCCCCTGACCCCCCCCCCCACGCCCCCACATCCTGGATGGACTGGTCTGGACCGGAAAAGCTTCGCCGTGTTTCTCTGCTTCTGTGGCGGCTTTTATACGTCGACCCATCGACTTGTAAGCATCATTGACAACATTTCTGCTAAAACGTAGCAAGGTAAGATACTCTCTTCTTTCGACGCCACCCAATCCCGTTTATAGTGGGGAACGAACAGTATAAATGTAGCAAGTTCATTTCGTACAGCCCAACGCACCGTAGCATTGATATCGACTTAAACCTCTGTTCAAAAACACAACGGCTGGACCACCGTCCGGTGGCCAGGTGGTTGACCTCCCGAATACAATTTGACCCTTTTCCGATACGCTGTCGCCCCCATCACACCAACAGCAGTCCGAACCTCTCCGTGGGCGGCTAATGATTGGGACCGCACCCCCAGGACACGCATTCCTTGCCGCCGGCCGACCGCCCTGCTTCCTCGAGCAGGGTGGGCGCACTCTCAGCCGGAGGGGCGCGCCGACTCAGGTGTAAAACGCCCGACCATCAGCGGCCGTCACCGCGGGGGCCTGGCACGCGCCGCCCCGCGGAGGGTCCGACTGCAGGGGGGGGGGGGGGGAGAGGGGAGCGGCCCATCGCCCATCATGGGACCAGGCGGAGCCGCCCGCCACCCGCCACCCACCCGGTTTGTGTCCGGAGGTTTAGGCCAAACCGGTTTGTGTCTGGAGGTTTAGGCCAAACCGGTTTGCGTCTGGGGGACGCTGTTGGAAAGCGCGGGGGTCCGGGTATCTGGAAACGCCGCGGGACCTTTCGTCCACGCTATTCAGTATAAGATCCGGTATGGTAATCCCGATTTGGGATCAGCCATGTGTCACTAGGGACATTTCTATTTTACGTTTTTTAGAGGTGAGTCTTATCCGATGTATTAATTCGGGTTTAGTAACTTCCTTTGTCACAATATGTGGTGCTAGGCAAAAAAACAAGCATCGAACGAAACTACATTTTTATCCTGTTTTTGTAAATTTGACTGCGAAACTTGGGTTTTGATATGCAAATTATCTACAATCCGCATTCTGCGTGGTATGAACCTAAGAATGGGACATCAGTACTTTGATCTAGCAAATGGAACTGAATAAATAGAGCTTCGCTGTGAATGGTTGTTTATCGCCTGCGAACGGGTTAGAAATTCCACGCATTACGTTCTTACCTACAGCAAATTATGTTGCGCTTTAATGCATTTTCACAGGTGAAGACGTTATCTGCGTGTCCACAGGTTGCCCTCGACAAAGAACTACCATCCATCATGTTGTTGTGGATTTACTCCTGCGCCCATCAATTCTTGTTTGGACGATCAAATATTTCGAATAGCGAGAGACCACCCTGGTTGTAAACTTCTGCGAGCCCACGGAAAGCAAGCCTGCTTGAATATTGAAGCATGACTCCCAATGTTAAAATAATTTGGAAAGTTAACGGTACAGCATAAGTGCAGCATACTTAACCCAGCACAGATTGATTTAAGCCGGCAGGCAGTTCATTCGGCATTCGAAGGCTTATTGATATGATTAGTTCCTAACCGGGTTTATAAGTGTATCAAACGAGTTGCTAGACGGGGTTGATGCGCCGCGGGGAGTATAATCTGAACAAGCATCAGCGGCATATGCAAGTGAGCGTGAAGTTGGGTGTAAAGTGTGCTAAAAACAGTTGAAGTAGTTAGGACTTGCATAGTCATATGCATAGGCGGTAAAGGACGCGAGGTGAAAACGTATTAAGTGCCAGATTTCCCCTGCCATGACTGCGCAGTGTCGGTGTCGACATCATTGGTGCCTCTGTGTTGCAGACGTGCCGCGGGCTCCGCAGCGCCCCCTGGTGGTCAGCTTCACCTCCAGGTCCGCCGAGCTCTCGTGGGCCCCGCTGTACTCGCAGACGGGCGCCTCTGCGCTCAGATACCTCCTGCAGAAACGGTGCGTTTGTCATCACGTGGTAACGTGTAATTTCCGTGCAGTACATCGCTATGGTGCAGTCTAGTTGGATGTGACTTCGTCATCCTCGCTTACCGGAAGGGCCTGATCGGGACCATGCCGACGGACAAGGGGAAGGTCGAAGGAAGCTTGGAATGCATGCTCAGAACTTGGAATGACAGATCCAATGCAATGTAGCACTGTAAAGACACCACAACAGCAGGCTTTTTGTACAGTAATGTCTTGTTTTTTCCTGAAAAGATCCACAGGTTTTAAGAGCACTGATCCCCAACATTGCATTAGAATTAGGAATCCTTGCATAAGTAAATGAACATGAATTTCGAAACCATCCGTACTTTACTGCTTCTGTAAACGCTTTTTCTTATTTGTTTTCTATCGAGCGGAAGTAGCCACTGCGGGGTGGAAGTCCAAACCCCGATGGCGATTGTTTAGTTCTAAATACATTCATTATGTCGCAAAAGCGCGGATGGAATAATTGTTCTATCGTTCTTGTCCGGTATGTAAAGATGCACACACCCGACTCGCCAGGTGAAGACGGTGCGAGCAGTTATCACACCCGTGATGCGCATACCTTGTCACCATCCTTCCGTGAAACTGTCAGTTGCAAAGTGTCGACCAACTTCACGCTTGAGCTTACCACCCTCGCTGGGAGGACCTCCTGCTAAGTTTATTCTTAGCAGTGCTTCAGTCACCGCTCAAGCATGCGAAGCGTAGCCGTGTTGAATTTGACCTCGCCGTTGCTCGGTCCGCAGCCGGTACGACCCGCCGGCGCCGTGGGACCTGCAGCACGAGATCACCATCCCGGACAACAGGACCACCTTCAACGTCACCGGCCTCAAGCCTTTCACCGCCTATAGCTTCCGCATCTTCTCGGTCAACAAAGTCGGCCGCAGCCTGGCCAGCGAGCCCTCCTACCCGATGGTCACGCACCGAGAACGTGAGTAGAAGAGACAAAATAAAAGCGAAGAAGCAAAGGGTAGTTAAAAGGGATAGTGATGTCTTCCGTTGTCATGGGACAAGAAATGCCGCGAACCTGCTCTGCTGCTGAGCTGAAATCCAGTGGTGATGAAAATTAATCAGTTCAACGAATTGTAATCTAGGTAAAGCTCTAGTTTGGAATTTTCAACTTTTACCAAAGTTTTAATCGTTAAGAACTGTATTACCGAGCAACAATAACCATAAGTCCCATGACATATAATGGAAGTGGTCAAGCATGCTACAAACAGAACATGTGTTCCACCATTGCGGCTTCCTCACTGTCAGCCTTTTAAAAGCCTCTACTTGTCCTTGACGTCAAAAAACGTGATTCATAATTGTTCTTATTTTTGAAAACAGCTGTCTCTGAGGAAGGCGTAACGGTAAAGTGACCGCCCTGTTTTTGGCTCATCTTTATATGCCTCGAGACTTTGTTCCTTCTTTCATCGTGATTCAAACCTAAACTTTGCGTTCTATCAAGTTAAGCTGTAATGACTTGTGTTGTGTACCATTCTTCTAAGCGCATTTAAATGAAGTGCAAACGCTTTCCGACGCTGTGCCTTGCACCAAGAAGCTCTATAGGTCCTTCTCCTCACAACGACACGAATTTCGTAGGGAGGTTGCGATCACGGTGATTCAAGCGCTTTACTTGAGCTCTATGGGTGTTCCATTGCGCGCATAAACCATGACGTGACGTAAGCTTCGTGGCGTGGCAGTTGCTTGGCAGTTGTTACCATGTTTAACAGAAATCTAGACCTTCCGAAGGATGAAACAGACCGATTTGTCAATCCAGACAGCCCTGGCTAGTCGGAGCACCATGGTGTTCCAGTGCTGTCAGCGCAATCAATAGCCTGCTTACAATATACTGCGGCAGGATCCGTTTGTGGATAGTGGATAGTGGTTTGTGGAAGTGGACAAATGTGATAGTCGGGCGGGGTCCGATGCTTCGCCATAGAAATATTTATTGGGGGGGGGGGGGGGGGAGTTGAACATGGACGGATGGTAAAGGTCCAGTGGTAAGCGTAGCCGGCTCCCACGTGGGGCTCGGGTTCAAACCCCGGCTACGCCATGTACTCTGAGCGCCAATATAGATCCTGCAGCCGTCGGGGCTGCATAAAAGGGCGGGCGATAATATGCGTCGTGTTTCCTTAATAAGGTGGAGGATGGACAGCTCCTGTTGGCGGCTCAGACCAAGACACTGGTTTTAATCTGAATTGTTTCGGATTTTATTTACTTTCTCAGTTTTCCCGGGTATTTTGCTGGGTAGGTGGTAGTTTTGGTTGCTAAAAACGCCAGAAAGTCTCAATGACAGTTGGAAATAAGTGTTTTTCATTCAGCAAGTCTTTTTTTAACATGTATTTGTTGTGCTCATTTCAGACAGAATGTTGAACTAAATGCATGGTGCAAGAGAGAGAGAGAGAGAGAATGGAGAGAGAGAGAGAGGAGAGAGAGAGAGAGAGAAGAGGAGAGAGATAGAGAGAGAGAGAGAGAGAGGAGAGAGAGAGAGAGAGAGAGAGAGGAGAGCACGCATATCTATATATATATATATATAATATATATATATATATATAGTAATATATATATATATATATATATATATATATATATATATATGCTGGGCGTGCGTGCGTGCGTGCGTGCGTGCGTGTGTGTGGTGGTGTGGGTGTGTGTGTTGTGTGTGTGTAGTGGTGGTGTTGTGTGTGTGGTGTGTGTGTGGTGGTGTGTGTGTGTGTGTGTGTGTGTGTGTGTGTGTGCGTGTGACACTCTGCGGACTTATTGGCTTCAACTCAGCTATTACGCCGTACTCAGATGTTGTACCTGGTCCATCTCCATCCGGACCGGTGGGACGTGCGGAATGCAGCACTGGGGACCGATTGTTTACTCGGGCTTATGGCGCATAGGAGAGGCAGCTGCGTTGCGGAAGACTGCTGAGCAAGAATTACTTACTCCACGCTAAGTAGGGTCGTCGATTTTAATATCTACTACCTGCTGATTGCAGGGTAGCTTGTGGGGGTTGCAGACAGATTTAAACAAAATACGCGGAGAAAAGACAGCTAACCAAATCGTCTCGGAACCTGTCAGATAGTATAAATATTGGAACAACTATTCCCCATCTGCAGCGTGGCTCACAAAATACTGCTGACTTACCGGCTTCATATACTCTCAAACCCAAGCCAGGCTCGCAGCTAAGCGCTCCCATTCAACCCAGCATCCACCGATCGCCAGCGCGGCGGCAAACCTCGGCGCCTTCCCAGCGCGGCTGTCGCGTGCTGGAGGCGTCCAATGAATTCCCAAATCGTCTGCCACTCTGCGTGGAGGGCTGTTGACACGGCCTGGAAACGCGCTGGCGCCTGGCAGAGTGCGGCACTTAGCTTTCCAGCGAAATACTGGCGGGGGACCAGAGGGTAATCGGGCCCGGCCGAACGCCAAGTCCAAGCCGCTGACGAATCACGCGTGAGGTTCGCAGGAACAGCATGCGAAATAGACGGTGCCTCGAGTGAAGTTCGCAGGAACAGCATGCAAAATAGGCCGTGCCTCGAGGCCCGGGTCTCCCAGCGGCAGCCTCGACATTGGACGGGCATCGCGGGCCTTCCGTCTGCCTGAAACTGCTCCGGCGAGTTGCCGACGCCCGCTTTGTTTTTGGAAGCGTCCAAAGTTGGAGGGCAACGAAGTCTAAGTGCACCTAATGCTGGCAAGCCGTGCTACTCCTGTGAAAGCCGGTTGAAACGTCTGCTGTATTTCAGCGTAATGCTGTTCGCTTTGCCGCTGCCAGAAGGTTGTGTTGCCGGAGTTTTGTATGCCGCTGTGACAGCATACCGTTAAAACGGCTGCTGCCACATGTCACACATTAACGGCGGCCGTTTGTCGGCTGCAACTGCAAACCAGTCCATAGTGTTCGAATCAATCAAAACGTCCTCTGGGAAAGTGCGCTGCAGCGCTCGCTATAGCACTTTGTGTAATGTCGTTTGCATACGCTTGATGCCCGCCAATAAGCTGAGGTTTACTGGTCGAGGCTTGGTTTTGCCTGACCCGACGGAAGTGCGCGGTGCTGACCTCCCTCGGGACATGAATTCCATAAAGTTAATGGAGGCTGTATAATGGTATATACCTAACGTGCACGACGGTGCACCGATGCACCATATGACGCTTTTGCAAGCAAGGCCTGCTCAAGAAGTTCTGGGTCTGTTTCCAACGCAATAGTCCTTTACACGGTTGCAAGATTAGACAGGAACCTAATTTGGTGCCAAATCTAAAATGGTAAAAAAATTACGACCAAGAGAGGAACCTATCCGTGTCGGACCTATCAAAGTAGCCATAGCCATTTGTGCTACCTAAACGTTTTTGTTTCGTCGTCATCTCGAAAGACCTGAGCTCCTGGTGTTTTGGAATTATGAGTTCAACGTTCTTATGTCAAGTTCACAACCACATAACAATGGTCGGAGACATGACATAACGAGTAAGTGCATAATGACCAAAGAGGTTTCCGGGCAAGATGAACTAGCTTTTTTATAGGCACGGAAAACTATCACGGTTTTGCTTTTGTTTATCCTAGTTATCGTGCATTTCAGATGTGGTACTAAGCTAGGTTTCTGTCTAGTAATGGTAGCGGCAAAAGAGTTAATGCATCAGGCAGTTGCCAAGAAACCCCCCACCAAAAAATGAATCACGTGTCGAAGCACGGACACGCCAGCTGCGTCTATCAATGGCGGAAGATGGCTAACAGGTCACATCCGTCAGCGAGAGATACGTAGAAAATAACAGGGCAACCGAAGGGTGCAAGGCTAGATTCCTAAAGAGGGCTGGGTGGTTGGGTTCCTAAAGAGGGTGGTTGCCGATCAACCACAATCGAAGCCACGAGTATTGGGATTCTGTTCAGCAGACAGGTGCCAATGTATAGCCGATGTGACCCCCTGTGACGTGCACGCGGTGATAGACACCTGGCGTGATCGCCGTCGGGGACCATCTAGCGTCAGCGGCACCACCGTGCGCCGCTCACGCCGATCGTCCCGAGTGTCAACGACGGGATCGTGGCGAGCGGCGCCGGCTCCGCCTCGCCCCATTCGGCTGCCCCGACACGTGGGTCGATGTCGCGCCGCGGCCGCCGCCTCGACCCCGCCCGCACGAGCTCCGTCGCCGTCGTGTTCCATTCAGGACATGACTCTCTCGGGCGCCAGGCGCTTCCGCAGACGCTGGCCTGCCGGACGGCCCCATCGGGACGGGGGTGGGAGGGGGGTGGGGGCAAGCGTAGCTGGCGACAAGGCCATGCAGCAGTCAGGTTTATGGGAGCGCCTCTCGAGGAAGAGCACCCAGTATCGCCGCGCTTCAACAGCTCAGATTAATGGGTTCAAGCATTCGAAGAAGGGCTTGGTGTCGTGCATCAGCTTAAGGAGGACATCCGACAGCTGAGCAGTTCTGTAATGTGGAAAATGCCAACATTAATACCATAGAGTCCGTGAGCTATTACTGCATCCTTGACGACAGTCCGACCTATGGACAGACTAGTAGAGTGTGCGTGCCGACTGCGGCTACGACTGTACTTTCTGTCCTCCATGCTTCATATTCGCTTGACCATCATGTAAATTTAAGTTTTCCCCTTTGCGTAATTTTATAGCTCTGCACATCGTGTTTTGTATTTCTACTTCCTATATCCTCAAGCGCAGTCATTTCCTTATTTGGTCGTCAATATGCACATTAACATAACTAAGGTGTGCCCTTTGGGACTTTTTAACAAGCACCTCCTGTTTCATTAAAGATCGATAGCTTGGATAACTTGAATAACTTGGACTCATAATACGTGGTTGCTTGGTTGTCGCAGCTGAATCTGTTTTGAGGACATTCCGCACTCTACTCGATGTTTGCCATTATCGCAAAATATCCTACGCCAGATCTTGGTACCTAGCAATAGGCAGCGATTGTTCTCAAAACCCAATCAGCAAGGGCGCAGGCAGTAAACGCTTATATTCAATATCAGTAGATCATCTCTCTGGCCTAGTAAGCCTGGAACTATCGTAGTCGGGACTGTAGCGAGTTGACGTTCCCGCAGCGCCGAGCGGCAAGCCCACCGTCGTCAAAACGTTCAGTCCCACCGCTGACACCATTGAGGTCATCTGGAGGCCGCCGGACCGCTCCGAGATGAACGGAGAGTTCATCGGTCACGTGATTGCGTACCGACCACGTGACCTGGACGGGGCGGAGTGGACTACGATCGACCTACCCGGCAACGTGAACGAAACCACAGTGAGTATGTTGACTATTTTCCTGCTGATTTATGTCGTTTGTGGCAGTGCCGGAAGATGGCTGTGCACGCGGTTTACGAGAAGGAGCATCATGTCGTCAAATATACTATCTCGGCGCTCCATTTCTTAGAATGATGCTCGGTGGTGTTATTGCGCAACTTGCAGCGTGCTGAAAACGCTGTAAATTTGGGGCCAACGTGTCAGGGTTGGGTGCGATCTCGGATCATGTGCGCCTTGGTCATAATGTTGGAGCATTTATATCTATGGCTGCCCCACCTTCTGCACGAAGGTGTGAATTCGGCACCACACGCTCTTGGTGTTGTAAGGAGAAAATCAGCGCAACATTTGCGGATCCAAAAATTTACAGGCTGTTTTCAAAAAGTTGGGTTTCATCAATGTGTTTGTGCGAGAACAAAACTTGTGCTGGATGTTCACCTTGCATACACCGCATTTCACCATATTGCTGATCAAGTATGGAACATGTCCGTAAGGTGCACAAGACGCTGATCGGAATTTCTTTTCTGGGTGCCGTTTCCCACAGCTCTTAACCGAAACGTCGCGTATTTTTGACATTATTGCCACCATGCATAAAGTCAGATTGTAAGATTTGCGCCGCCGTGTATGTGCAATATGCAGACCTACATCAGGCATGCGTTTCCCAGAGCTATATAATCGAGGACTTGACGCCCTATACGGAATACCTAATACGAGTCGGCATCAAGAACATGGTGGGACTCGGACCGTACGCCGTCGTCAGGGAAACGACCTTGGAAGGAGGTAAGTTCTTTTTTTAAAAAAATTATCCAAGCCTTACACTGAACGGTGTCATACCAAACACTTGTGCGAGTGCGAGTGCAAATGTCAAGATTATAATTGCCCAAGGCCATGCAGAGCCAGTGAAACACTCTGATCCTTTAAAGTGTAGTCTTGTTATGACGTCACTGAAACTTAGCATAAGATGAGTGGGTTGATATGATGAGAAACCATAATTACTTTGAAATCATCGGTCAAGAACAGATGCTGCGCACTCCTCATGCAATTCTCAACACTTCCACTGCCGGTGACCTCCTCTCACGCCTATTTAAAGTTTACAGTGACGTGGCATTCTGGGTTCCCACAGCAGGCTGCTATGCGGATGACGGGCATCTGAAATTTTGAGCATCTATCTATTTTGAGGGCATCTGGACATCATCTAGGCATTTATTTTGAGCTGCCGGTTTTCGTGACTGCTACGCATGTTGTTGTGTTCTAGTTCCAGACCGGCCAGAAAACCTCACGCACTCGCTGGTCGGGGACAGCTGGGCGTTGCTAACGTGGAAGGAGCCGGTGCATCCCAACGGCGTCATAGTGGGGTACTACCTTTACTTCGAGTTCACTCGGGGAATCAGGAGCATCACAGACAACAGGATCATCAGGGAGGCCAGGCCGCAAATGGCTTATAACTTGACAGGGTTAGGTAAGTTTCATGAAAACTTTGATGAAGTGCAAAGTCTGCGAACCGATCCTTAACTCCAACTGCTGCATCGTAGGTGATGGATGTAAATGGATCTCAAGACGCCTTTGGAATGGTTATTATTGATGCAGGTCGCTTGCCTCGCCGCACAGAAGTCCATTTATTTTACCAGCAGTTGTGGGCACTTCAGTCAATAACCCTCGGCACTTAAGAGCCGGGTAGACGAGGCGGTATTCCCACTTAGGGTGACGTCCCCAGTCCGGATCGAAATAATTGTGAGCCAGCTGATGTCTTTTATTCTATTAAGGATTGGTCTAAGAAAGACCCTTGAAACAAATGTAAGCAAAACGTCGACTTACTGGGTCGGCTGACGTAACTGGCTTCATTTCAAGATCACGTCTTACATAGATTATCGTAGAATATTTTGCGCATAGAACAGCTGGTTTCAGTCCAGCTATTTTCAACATGGCTTTAACAGAAAAACCCTTCCAGCCAAAGTCGTTCAAAACGGTACGTGTTGTACCATGGGGTTGGATGCTACATAGTGTTCCCACTACTTTGCTCCCACCGATGTTTGCTTTTCATTTATTCCAGCTGCTTACACGCGTTACACAGCTTGGGTTCACGCCAAGACGAGCAAGCACGAGGGCCAGAAGTCGGAGAACCTGGTGTTCCGCACGGACGTGGGCGGGCCGAGCGCGCCGCTCTTGTCCAACGTCACGTGCCAGGCCGACACCTCCATCTACGTGCGCTGGCGGCGGCCGGAGCGGGTACGGGGCTCCATCGACCTGTACTACGTGCGCTACCGGAGCGAGTACGACACGGACTTCGAGCAGATCCAGATTCCTACGGCCGTCAGCGTCGAGCAAGAGCAGGTAAGTTTTTGCTCTTCATGGGGACATTTCTGATCTTCTTATTCCACCTTTACATTATAGCGGCAAGAGAATATCCTGCCACACTGCTTGCAGGCGTTCAGGTTAAGCGTATATAGGGATGCGATGAGCTGTTTATACTGTAAATGCAAACGCGATTTTGTTCCAAGGCAACGTTCAAGAGATCTCCCCCCTCTAGTGCGTGCTGCAGCTTGTTCCTTAAACCTTTGATTCTGTTTCGCAGCTCGCACTCAAGAACCTGACAACGGACACCATGTACGAAGTCAGCGTGGTCGGCGTCACTAAATCTCGGTTCAACACCTCCGTCCTGTACTGGGGCCAGTCATCGGAATCCAGGAAGGTGATGCTGCAGCCCGACTGTGAGAAGATCCAGTACCTGAAGATGATGAACTCCCGGCGGACCGGCTGGGATCTCAGCTCGGGCATGGTCGCTGGCGTAGCCTGCGCCAGTTTCGCCTTGCTTCTCGCCATGACGGCGTTCTTCGTTTGGAGGTGAAAATCGTTGGGCACCTGCGTTTTGGGGGTTTCTGATTTACGTGGTTGTATCTAGGGATGGAAATATATGGCCAGGGTTTGGAAACGCTGTTTGCTGAGGCTGTGTGGTCTTACCGGGGTCTGGTCGCCCCAGTAACGTATGGTGTTGCAACTGGATTGGCTGTGAGGTTGGAAAGCCTTTCGGCGCTCGGGGCTTTCGGGAAGCTTGTTAGAACCAGTGCTAGCTTATTCTCGGATTCTAAGCATTGCTCGCGGTAACGACGAGGGCATATTTCCTCCCCAGGAAATACTTTCAGGCGGCCTATAACTACCTGGACGAGCCGAGCAAGACGTGTAGCACGCTCTCCACCGAATGGGAGAACGACTCCCCGGACGGCAGCACGGCCGGCCCCATCCCTGTCCACCTGTTCCCCAAACACGTCAGCAGACTACACGCCGACGGCGACATCGGCTTCAGCAAAGAGTACGAGGCGATCCAGACGCAGACGTTGCTGGATGGCTACGCGTCCGACCTCAGCCAGCATACCGAAAACAAGGACAAGAACAGATACCTCAACATTGTGGCTTGTGAGTGGCCTCAGCTTCTTACTTCAGCAGCCTCTTGAACAAGCGCTCATATTGTAATCCAGACAATCAAAAGTTACTTACCATAATCTTTCCAAAACACAGACTGGCTGGCTGGCTGGCCATGCTGGCTTACTGGAGTGTAAAAATTTACCAGCGACTCATCACCCAGTGCATGCACGATCATTTCTAGCAAAATCCCGAAACCGCTGTAAAAACCTTTACCTGCGTTCACAGACGACCACACGCGGGTGCCTCTGCAGCTGATGGGGTCGCAGAAGCAGTGTGACTACGTGAACGCCAATTACATTGACGGCTATCAGAGGAGACGGGTCTACATCGGCACTCAAGGCCCGCTGCCGGCCACGTTTGACAGCTTCTGGAGGATGGTGTGGGAACAGAACGTCCACGTTCTCGTCATGATCACCAATCTGGTGGAGCGAGGCAGGGTACGTCTAGCCGTGATCTCTTTGTCAACATTGGATGAGTTACAGAGCGTTTGCCTCAGCGATTCCATGCTACGTGGAAGGCGTCGTGAATGGTGCAGTGAGCTTGCAGAGTGACCTTTTGTACCGGCATAGAAACTCGTGCTTTGTGAGAAAGTTTGTCGTTTAATGCATTTTCTGTTGTGTCACAAACCAGAAATGGGGGACATGATGCCGTCTTTATCCTGTAAGTGGACCTAGGTTGGCAAGTTTTGGGCGCCGAGAAGGATTTCATTCATAGTAATGTTCGGCAATTCTTTGCATACTTCGATATCATAACACTTTACGTCGATATGATATTATAATAGTTTTGTTCCATTGCTTTCATGTCGCTAGGCTTTTTTATGTCTCCGAGGCCATGGGCGCCTGAACAGCGGCTAGTTCAGCAGACACCCTAAGCAAATCTCACAATATTTTATTGGAATATCGTAATATCGTGAAATATCGTAGTTTCTCGGGCATTCATCGGGACGCGATGGTTCGTACTATGTTGCAAGGTACATCAACAGAGAGCATTCTAGTTGCATGGCAAAATACGTGGGATATTTTTTATCGCGTCACCCCAAGTGCACTATCCGCGACTCCTGCCGACTGCTGCTGTTGATCTGTCCTGCCGTGAACACTTGTGTTGTGTATTTCATGTCTGTTCGGATAGGATTCGGACAAAGAGCCATCCGGGGCGCACTTTGAGGTAATCAAAAAGGTCGGAACATTGGATTTTTGACTTCAGAGTTTGTCACTGACACCGTCACTGTTCGTCACTCATTTATTTTTCTTCAGACTTTGACACTCGTGACGTCACTGACTCGAACCGGTTGGCATCGCTGTATCTTTCAAAACTGAGTGTTCTGCTGTAAACGAGGCGTTTGCACCTCATGTGGTTTTCGGCGTTCTGTTTGATTCAGCGAGACGCTTACTTTCCTGACACGTATTTGTGTTTTATTGTGCTACCGATGAGGTTGTGTTGGGTTCAATGAAAACAAGCCTTAGAGTTCATGCCGTTGTCTCACCCTTGTTGCAGGATGTTACTGGAGCTATGCAGGTTCTTTGATTTGGAGCTTAAAAATTCAAATCCCTAGAAGACCCACTCGTATCTGAAAGCGACATCAAAGTATTATGTTCTGACCCTACCTCATGAGTGACGCGCGATAGGATCATAAGGCCAGCAGTGAGCTTACTTGGTGACAAATCGTTGTTGGCATCGCATGCTGTTGAGTGTGCACCAAAAAGTTTCATTTCTCTGATCAGAGATATCCTTTCAGAAAAAGTGCGACATGTACTGGCCGCAGGAGGGAACGGAGACTTTTGGAGTCATTCAGGTCACCTCTCTCGGCCAAGATGTCATGGCGACGTACACCATCAGGAAATTCCGAGTACAACACATGAAGGTAATGAGAAAACACGAATGAGCGCGCGTGAAAACTGTTGTGGATACGCGGGTTTGGTATGTCGCAAATGTCTGTCTTGTTTCAGACCATGATTCAAATATTTGATGATAAGTTGACAGGGATAGAGCCTTCAGCATATATAGCCCGGCAGCACACTAGTCATTTTGCGGCACGTTAATAGTTATACGCTATTTCTAGTCTGATACGCCGGTAATAATAACATAGTACTTGTGACTAATATCACTAAGGTGAAGGCTACTTATATGAATATCTGCCATATGGTTCGCTTTATAATGACGTTGGCCCAAATCACACACCAAGCTTACGATGGTCAAGAAAAATCTGGTCATATTGAAAACAAGAGACGTTTGAGAGTAGAAGCGGCAGGATTTTTGGACAGGCTGCACACTGCAGCACGTCCGCATCAGCGTGCGCGTACGTTTCCAGCTGAAGAAGAAGCGCCGGGCGTCGACGGAGAGGACGGTGTACCAGTACCACTACACTAACTGGCCGGACCACGGCATCCCCGAGAGTCCGCTGCCGATCCTCAGCTTCGTCCGGAAGTCGGCCGCCGCCAACCCGGAGGGAGCCGGGCCCATCGTGGTCCACTGCAGGTGAGCCGCGGTGGCCGGCTTCGGGTGCGGCTCGGCGGACTGACGTCGGGGCTGGTGCGGCGGTGTGTCCGCCGGAGGGGAGGGAACTGGGACCATCATGGTCCACTGCAGGTGAGCCGCGGTGGCCGACTTCAGGTGCGGCCCGGCGGACTGACGTCGGGGCCGGTGCGGCGGTGTGTCCGCCGGAGGGGGATGGGGGGGGGGGGGGGGGGTAACCGGCGAGGTATTTGTAGGATATCGTCGCCTCTGGAGGCTTGAATACCTTGGCTTTAAACAGGGTGTGGTTTGCTTCGCTGACCGTTGATGAGCCAGCTGAGCAAGCCAGCTGACGCTTGGTGAGATGGATGAAATACAGATGGTTGTCGTAGCCACATGCAACTCATTATCGACGACCTAATTTTTAACGTTTAACGTACCTTTAATGTTTGACGTTTAATGTAGCTCTTGAAATTCCGGGTAGTTACAGACCATCACAAATTCGTGATATTTTCGCTTCCAGTGCGGGTGTTGGGCGGACCGGCACCTACATTGTCCTGGACTCGATGATGCGGATGATCCGGGCGAAGGGCGAACTGAACGTCTTTGGCTTCCTCAAGTACATCCGGACGCAACGCAACTTCCTGGTGCAGACCGAGGAGCAGTACATATTCCTGCACGACGCTCTGATGGAGCTGATCGAAAGTGGCGAGACCGATATACACCGTACTTTTCTGCGGCGATATTTGCACAACCTCCTAACCACAGAGGAGGATGTCTATCCTTGGTACAACCTCGACAGACAGTTCAGGGTGAGTTTTACAGTTTGGCGTATAGATAAAGAAGGTCCCTTTGCACGATGCCCCGAAGAAGGAACGGTACAATTTAGCTGGAAGGTTCGTCTATAATTCTTGCTGTGATCTGCAGTCTTTTGAAGCATCGAATGCACTTCTTTTTCTGAGCTTGAGAGCACAATGTTGTTGATGTCCCTGTCGGCCAGAATTAGTCAATGGAAAGCTTGTTCCCTTATTGAGGTATGTTACGTTTCCCAGCTGGTCACTTACGACCAGGCGTCGGACTTCAACATGACCTCGGGGCGTCACCCGGCCAACGTGCACAAGAGCCGGCGAGGCGAGCTGCTGCCCACCGAGGCGAGCCGCGTGTGCGTCACGCCGCGGCCGGGCGTCGAATGCTCCGACTATATCAACGCCTCCTGGCTGCCGGGCTTCAGCCGGCTGCGGGAGTTCGTGGTGACGCAGCACCCGCTGGCCTCGACGCTGGCCGCCTTCTGGCAGATGGTCTGGGATCACAACGCCCAGACGATCGTTCTGCTCAGTCCTGTGGATGACCAGGTGAGAGGCGACGGGGATCGTAACGTCCAAACGACCGCCCACATCCTGACCGCACGTGGATGATCAACCTAAGATAGTCAGATTCTGGCTCAGAGAAAGAAACAACGATGCATCTCAAAGCAAAGTCTTCTTGGCATGCATTTTAACGATGACTTTGTGATTAGCTGTACTGATCTGGTCGCCCCGTTGGCTTTGTTTCAGGAGTACTGCATCTTCTGGCCGCTGGAACACGACGACATTGACTGCGAGCAGTTCCGGGTCCGCTTCACGGCCGAGGCTCAGGGTGGACACTACGTGCTGCGGGACTTTACCTTACAATCACACACGGTAAGGCACGGAATGGTGATTTCAGAGAGCTCTGCTCGTCATAGCATATTCGCCCAGGGCGGCTGTCTATCCGTATTAGACCCGCCTCCAACAGTGCTAACGCTGCGATTTTTGTCGCCGCAGGACGACTACGAGCTGGCGGTGCGCATCATCCAGTGCTCCAACTGGCCGGCGACCTGCTCGCCCGTCGGTCATGTGTTCGACCTGATCCAGGTGGTGCAGCGCTGGCACCTGGAGTACCAGAACGGGCCGTGCGTGGTGGTAGACCGCTTCGGCGGCACCGAGGCCGCCACCTTCTGCTGCCTGACCACGCTGATGAAGCAGCTGGAGTACGAGTCGCACGCCGACGTGTACATGTACGCGCGACTGTACCACACGCGGCGGCCGGGCGTGTGGCGGGCGCAGGACGACTTCCTGCTGCTGTACCGGGCGGCGGAGGCGCTGGTGGCCGGCGGCTGTGGCCCGCCGTCGCTGCCGCCGCCGCCGCCTCCGCCTCCACCCGACGTGACGGACGTGCCCCGTCCGACGCTGAAGTCGATCCTGAAGAAGGGCGGCACGTGCCAGCGCCAGCGGTCCGTGCGCTGCAGCGACACTCTCGTCAGGATCCCGCCCGACGGCATGGAGAGTTTCGTGGTGGACGTCGGTGAAGACCTGTCGAGTCCGTAGAATGTGCGCCACCAACCGAGGGGTTGTCGAGTCTGTCGGGTGCGCAACAGGGGTGACTCGATGAAAAGAGTTCCTGCAGTGAACTTGGGGGAAAGTGCGTTGAGCTACTGCCTGAGTGCGCCCTGTCGTATGTGGTCGTACGCTGCTGGCTTCTGCTCAAGTTGGGGTTTCCAGCCCAGCCAGAGTCTGTACCCACTCTGAGACTGAGGGACCATCGGGAATATGGTAACAGTAGCAGCACGCTGCGACTGTGAATGTAGCCTCATTTGACCCGGCTGGAGTGTGGGTCGCAGCTGCCGGTGGGACGTGTGCTCGATGCGTAATTGCTATACAGTTAAGACGTCTCAAAAGTCGCCGTCAAGTGTGCTGCCGGATCTCATACTCTGGACGTCCTTAGGTGGCCGGATTCATGCTAGCAGCGACGAGATTTCTACAGTCTCATGCTGCGGTACCGGGGAGCATGGAAGTGTCTGTAAATGAGTGTAACTACTCACAGATGGGCCACGCAAGACGCCGTGTACAAAGTGTAGAAATGTTCTTATGATGTCTTACACATTGTGTATGCGAGGGAAGGCTGGAATTGTCGCAAGTCTGACAGAAGCCACTAGGTTAAACACTGGGTGGCTGCAACTCAATTAAAGGCATCTCAACATGTCCATGCTGCTACTTGAGGCGTAACGTCACACTTAAGCGTCTTGGCTTGTGCAGCTGCGTGGCTGCTGTACTTTCCATTGTATTTGGATCTAGTTATCATCGTGTTCTGGAATAGCGTGTGCAGTATTCGCGGATCTTGGCGTTTCTGATCGTGGAACTGGGTGTTTACTGTGATATTTTATAATGGCATTTGCTGTGATATGTGATCATGTATTGGGGAATAAAAACCGAGGCGTGATTCAATGTTCCGGTATCTGCTTACAAACTGCCCTATTCGGGTTCAGGCGACCGATCCTACATTACTATCACAGACGCAGACATACAAAGTTTGAAGTCAGAGTGGTGGTAAAAGCAGACAAAACCTCTGTTGTTCAAAGCCACACACGAGAATCGCAGCCCGAGTAGCACTGGTCATATTTGCCGGCATGCGACCACTTCGTTCATCGATAGCTCAGTAGTACCCGACTACCCCATGCACTACAACGCGTATTTACCGGGCCACACTTACGGCCCACTCTCGCGAGCGTCTGAGCCGGCCATGCGCCACGCTCTCGTAAACAAGCTGCACCGCATCCTGGGCGCGTGCATGCTGTTCTAGCGCCTGAACCGGCCGCGGCCGTCCGTCCCCGTAAACCTCAGTCTGGGGAGGGGTCACAAGGTCATGGTGTAAACGGGCCAGTTGGGATCTTGTGTGATGGCTAGCGTTCTCCGACCATTCACAACACCCCCCTCTCTCCAGCTCTGGAGTCGTCCTTGACAAATCTTTGGACAGGGAAAGAGCAGATTTCCTCATGAGGGCAAAATCACCAACAGCAATAAGGCAAGACACCTGAAACATGTGCACCAGTCAGCTGACCTCCTGCCATCGGACGGCCTCACCCGAAATGCCCTACTGGTCGAAGAATCTGTGTCTGCGCGATGGTTTGTCGCCGCAGCTGCGGTCGATGTTGACGCTGCGACCACAGCAGCTCCAGCGCCGCACCGGCCGCCCTCGGCGCAGCTCCGCCGAACTCAACCCCGACATCTCTGTGGCAGCCGCAAGGTCGATCCAGCCCCACGAGTCCTTAATCAGTCCTGTTTCCAGGTGCTAGCAGCAGGTGGTGGAGCTGCTAGTTCGCAGGTGGAGCTGCTGGCCCAATGCCCCCGGGCCCTCGGCGGGTCCTGCCGTCGGCGGCTCGACTCCCTATGGTTTGACCCCTTTCCCATGAATTAGGGCTCCGCTCCTTTAAGGGCGCCACTCTCTTGAGGTAAGGTCAATGTCGAGGTCAATGTTACATCAGATTAGATTTGAAAAGCGCAAACTTGCTGTTGACAGATAATTTCTCGAGTAAATGCGTCTGAGGTGTGTCAAGGATTGTGTTAATTTTGTTTCAGGTCCAGGTCACGTCACGTAGAGCATCTGAAACCCTCTGGTAATACGTGTGCTCAGAGCCCCCCAAAATATTTCAGTATCTCATCGGCATGAAAAGCCTGTTTTTATCCTTGATATCCGGGCACATGTATGTCTCTAACGTAGTGTTAGTCGTTAGTAAGCCTTTCACGATTCACAAACAGCACTGTCGGATGTGTGTAACGTACGTGCAAGGTCATTCCACTTCAATGTCATCCGAAATTAAGCAGTTACATCAGGCTGCCTCACATTCCTCGTAGAAAATGATGGTGTGATTTGACTTACATCACCTCTTAACTGTGGGCCAATACATAGATTCGTATATATGACAAAACCCGTGGATGACCTCGTTGACCAAATCGAACAGATGAACTGCAAAATCTGCTGAAAAATGATCCATGTAAAAATGTAAAAGCACATCGGGTGCGAAATCGTCAAGAGATTTGTAGCCCTCTCCCCATCCACCACACACGCACACATACACGGGAGAAGATGGCGGAACCGGTCTGACAAACTATGGCTGATGAAATAACCGGCAGCTCCATGGCGTCTCACAGAAATACAAGCCTGAACCGTCACCAACGTTCTGCTTTGGTCATTTGTTCAGCACTTAAGTGCCTCACGAGTCACAAAGATAAACAATCCCTTACGTGAAGGCAAGTCAGACTGTTTTGAATGCGCGCCTAAACAAAGCCCGAATGCCGAGGGCGACGGTGTCCTGAGTTGTGGAAACCTGGCGAAACTCCTCCGCCGTTTTCACCAGCTGAGGCTCTGTCAGCCTGCCATACCGCTGCCACGAACGGCACGCCAGATATTTGGGCCCCATATGGCACCCTTACCTGGAACGTAAAATCGTATTTAACAGGCTTTTATTGTTCTCACAAGTGGTCCCGAATGACTCACACCTCCTGGGCAGTGATTTACATTCGCCGTTATACGCTGACTGGGCGGCCGTCAATGAAAAATAAATTCTCCCAAGTACATTATCTCCCTATAAACCGACACCGCACAAATGCCTGCGGGCAATTTATTGCTGCATTCTGATAAAATTAGCCACCTTTAAGAGGCTCTGAAATCCGAGCACGTCCGGCGCCTGTTGAGAATCGAGCTCGCCGTTGAAAATGTCAACCATTCCCGGCCGAATCGAAGTGCTTCAGTTAGCGCGCTGAGCCACCGACCGCAGCCTAACTCGAGTTGGACAGTTATATGCGCAATGCCTGCTGCAAGCCAACTTACTTAGATCTTCACCGGGGGGATAATTAGCATAGCTTTTCGTGTCCGAGACTCAAATGCAATTAAACGGGATTGGAATTGACATGCACTGATTAGGTGTTGCTGCTCGCCAGGGTTTTAAATTCACGTGTCTGTGATGTGCAAATACATGCAGAAATCAAACGCCGGCAATTCGGCTCCATCCCGAATCCAGCCACACCTACATGTGTGCATGCGTGCTGAAGAAAAATACAATTTATGATACTGGGGGCGGTTATACCGCCCTGGTCCACTGCCATCCAATCCGTGGAGATTACGCAGCCAGTCTGCCACGTGCAGGACCGGGCAGTGACCCTCCTGGGAGTCGGGCTTGCGCCACCCGGGCTTCCGCATTGCCACCCGGACAGACGACATGGATTATACCAGATCAAAGTGAGGATCAAAATGACACCACGGCGAAAATTAAATTGTTGCGGTATCCATGCGGTGCGGCTGCAGAGGCGGCCAGGCCAGAACTCAGCCAGAATTGTCGTTAGGTGTTACCGTGTCTGACATGAACTCCATCCTTGCGTCTGCCGAGAAGAATCCGTGTGAAAGTCCTGCGGACACTCGGTCCACAGGGCATCGTCCAATGGTCGCAAGCTGCTCTCGCCCCGGTTCTTTCCTTTCATGATAATCGCACAGTTGTGTTCGAGAATGACGGGAGATCAGCAGACATACACCCACGAAACATTTCGTATGTTTTCAACGTCCTCGTGATATTCTCTGTAAATGTTTCGCGTCTAGGGTATTCAACAGAACAGAGGCCTAAATACAAAGTCGCATTGCGATGCTATCAGTTCGAAAAAGCTCACTTGACCCGCCGCTCCCCGCAGTTTTTCCTCTTCCTTGCGTCCTTGGAATTCCGCCGCTGCTCAACCCCTCCCAAATTAAAAAGGCGTTTTTGGTTGTGTTGGCAGGATGCTTTTGTGTTTGTAATTTTTGCTAAGCATAGGTTATTGCATTTCCCTGATACCACCACCAAAGATAGGCCGACCCAGGTTAACCGATATTCTTCCGCACGATCTTCTTGCCAGACAGGACTGCGGGGTTTTCTGTACCGGAGAGCATTCCAACACGGCCGGACGGGTCCGGGTGACCGTGTTTGGCAGTCGCCAGCAAACCTGTCTCCGACAGTCGGGCAGAACAACGCCCCCACACTGGAGCTCGCACCCAGCGCCACTGCATTGCAAGTCCAGCGCCTCTCCATTACAATTTACGCCACGGGACACGCGGCGCCATGCTCATAGCGATGTTCGTGTTGTGCCACTGTTCTTGCTTCCAAATGAAAATGGCGGACACAAACTAAAAAACAAACTAAGTAAGTGGAAGCGGTGCGGACTTTTTCACAGATTCAGACAAGACACTGTTTGGCAGCTGAGTTTATGTTTCGTTAATCCAGGTAGAGTCCAGCCCGTCACAAATTCCTTACCACTGCGACGAGATAGCTGGTGGCCCCATCATGCAGCATTTTCTTGGGCTACGCCAGGTCAGGTTGGTTGGCGCCTATTGGTCATATCTCGTCTGAGACGCCCAGTGGCCCTAATTTCCACCGATTTCAAAGTTTGCGATCTACATATCCTCGATTTTTGCTCACCAGCTGTTCGTCTAGCCCATCTCACACGGCTCTTTTTCTTCCGTGGCGCCGTGTGAGGGAGTTCCTGTCACATGTTTAAATGCTTGCGCAATGCGACTCATCCGACACTCTGGCTGTACCACTGGTACTCATGCAACACCCTGCTCTCACCACTGATATTAAAAAGGCCAGCAACCTACGGCGAGTCAAACAGCATAATAAGGACCACCCTTAACGAAATTAATTGAAATGCATCGCAGCGTTATTTGCTTGGCTATATTAGTTTCATTTCTACTATTTTTGTTGCTACGCAGGTTTTTGTAGTGACATGTGTTAAAGGGAGTGTTCCACATTTGTACCGGATTTTGCACTGAAATGGCCATCTTGAAGATCACTCGGTGCAGTTTAAAGCCCTGCCCTTTTTAAGACCTGGGCCCCTCTAGTTTCTGAGCTATGCGCTCGCGTAGGTTTCGATATGCAGATATGCGAAGATATGCAGACTATTGAGGGATACTGTTTAAGGTCACCCTGGCATCAATGACGCCATGCTAACGTCGTTCAAGTCGTATCATTTCACTGGTTATGGGGCGATCGTAGGCAACAAAATATGAGCCAAGTTGTTCATATCTGGCGGTGGTAAGCACAATCTCCAGATGTAACGGCCGCCATTTGACTTTCATTCAATGTTGTGAGAGGTAAGGTGCCGCGACGAAACCATAACGTATTGAGGAACTCATTTACTAAATAAAGAAATCGTGCTGTCTAAAACAGTTTTTCCACGCAAAAGTATACGAAAAGTTATATGTGAGCTTATTGGATCATATCTGATGCTTGCTTCAATATCTTCAAATGTGGAACATCCTCTGAAAGTCATTTGGATGACATGTCCTCTGAAAGACATTTGGCGCAATAAGTCTTCGTGAAAGTACCATCGTATCAAAACTAAGTCTATCTGCATCCGAATGAAAACTCGAAGGAAATCTTAAATTTTAGTAAACGGGCCATGTAAG